CTCACTTGACACTAGTTCTGTAATAATCATACTTTTCATCTATAATTCAGCATATATTTCCATTCTATTATGGCTTAATCACCTGTAGTAGTGGTTTTTTTAAATAACTACTATAATATGGTTTTTTTATTTTATTGTTTTATTTAAAAGTCCTTAAAAGATTTTTATAATTGAGTTCTCTAGTTACTCCCTTTTCAAAGATGTAGTAAATCTGATGCTCACTTTATCTGGTACAATCATTATTTGCTTTCATTTTTACAGAGTGGTATTTCTGACAAAGAAATGTTCAGTATTAAATCACCAAAATGGACTAACTTTGGAGCTGTTTTACTTCTGGGAATATCCATGCTAATTATGAGCCATGTGTAGAATGAAACTATGTAAACCAAAGAATGTATTTGTCAACAGTTGTTTTTAAAGTTCCACATGTAAATGTATTAAAACAAGTTTTGATCTTATTATCATGAAAAACTTTGTTGAATTAAAACCCAGCACATAGGGTTTTAGTACCCCTTATTCTTCTGTGAGGTTTCAAACTGAACATAATTTGGTCTAAAATTACATTATGGTCACCACTCTTAAGAGACATGAAATAGGCAAATTTCTTGTATGCAGCTGTTATGAAACCACTTCTGCTTCACAGATTCCTTACAAGGTTTTGTTATACTTTCTCCTACAAAAGAAATCTACAAGTTATGAAACAGCTTTAACATTAAATTATGAAATATCTTTCAACGATTATTCTTCCCTGTCGAACTTTGCAAAAGGCATTTTCATATTCTCTACCTGTCCTTAAAACTGTGGAAATTTGCATCTATTGTAACACACACTGGTTTAAGTTTCTACCTCCCAAAAGTATAATTTCTAAGCAAAATTCAAAGCAAAAACCAGGATGTGATTTGTTTGCGTACTTTAGATATTTAATTATTTGTAAGATCCTACCATTAAGCTCATAGTAATGAATGCTGTTAGTAATTGCCGCTATATTTTTTTAGAAGATGGGCATGCTGCCTGGGGAATGATGGGAGTTGAAGTACACACCTCTTAAAGTTCCAAGGTAGAGAAACACTGGTTTACATCATACTGGAGCACAGAACCTGCCATAGTCACACAGAGCCTACAAATGTACAAGTATGAAAAGTTGGGAGAAGACCCTTATGCCCACTTTCTAGCTCATACAACTTCTGCAGTGGTGAATGGAATTGATTATTCTCCAAATTTTACCTTTTCACAAGAAATGGCAGTTGTGTGTAACTCACTGAGAAGGAAGAAAAGCTTGGGAAGGCATAATTGGTACTATTTCCTCCTGATTTGCTAAGTAACAGTTCTAACCCAGATTCAACCACATTCAGAGCTAGATTTGATTCAAGCTTGAAACCACACTAATTTAAGGCACATGATCTCAGTCTTCACATTTGTTTGAAGGCTGTATAATTTAAAAAGCAACTATTTAAAAAAGTCATTATTGTGAAATCATCATCATCATCTCTACCATGTGCATATTTATATATTAATTAATTCAGAATGTATACAGCTTTAATTTTTTTTTTATAAAACATGGAAAATATATTCTAGTCTGTAAAAATAGTTACCAGAAATGGAACTGAACTTTATGGTTAGTCACAAATTTCAATACAGAATCTGATAGATCAGAACCTAGTCATTAAACATTAAATCCTAAAAACAAATTAATTTTCCTTTTTTTTTCATTGAGCTAAAAAGCTATACTCAATCTTAGTAATTTGCTAAAATCGCTAAATCATAAAACAGCAAATGCCCATGCAGGATATATACCAGCATGTATCCAATAATTTTTGTTTAAATTTTATTTTGCATAAATCACAGTTATTTTGCTGATCTCAAACTACCAGACATGTGTAGCAAGAACCCAGATAACCACAGATGGAAGTAAAGAGAAATTTGGGGGCTTCTGTATGTTTGCAGCACAGATCTGGTAAATCTATTTAATCTCCAGAAACAATGTTACCCTCCAAAGTCAAAGTCAAAGTCAAAGTAATCTTTATTGTCATTGTACTAATTTTCCAAGCAGCAGATTGGGGTGGGGGGGCAGGGGGAGAGGAAGAAGAGAGTTGCAGAAGAGTAGACTTATATATAAACATAAGGGTTTTAAATTGAGGAAAACATGAAAGATTACTCACCGTTTCATACGCTATGATAATTTTTTTTAGAACCTCTGGAACAATCCCTTGCAATTCCATTGTGGGATACTGATCACTGAGATTTACTACCACCAAGGGTGTATTATCAGGTTTCACTAAGAGGCTAGACACTGCCAGAATACATTGCATGAGATTTGCTACAGGAGCAAGGCCACACAGCTCTTTGAATGAAACTACTGCATTCTGTTTGGAGGAGATAGAGAAAAAAGGTTGAAGTGATATTGTACTGGTCAATAATTTTAATAATTCTTCAAGTTATACAATCTAATAGACATCAAAACCAGTTTATAATGTAGTAGTCCCAACAGGTAAACAATTAAGCAATACACAGCACTTTTCTTAAGCAAGCAAACAGCTATATGTATTTGCAGGATTTATAACAAATGCTCAATATACAAATAAATTTTAAAATTCTGTTATGGGAAATTAATTCCACTTCTCACTTGTAACTGACAAGAACTACTTCCTTTCTGATGCAGAGAAAGTACTGAGGTTATCCATGTTGTGATTTCACATCATGCTCTCCATTTCAAAACCTTCTATGTTGACAGTTTATAACATTTGTCATGCCACCTTCTTATTGCTGGAGATTTAAATAACTGTGGGTCATTCGCTTAATTACAGAGGTTTTTTAAAAAAAATTATGTCAACAATCACTTATTTCGCCATGAAAAAGATGTGAGATAAACATTTTTGATCTATCTCATTGGTTGAATCTCAGCTCCACTTCAGACTCTGATTAATCCCTTTAGTAGTTAAATCAATTAGAGACAGAAGTGACTATAATGATTGTTATTCCTGAATAAATGAACTTAAAAAATTACTCATGCTTAGTTATGAGGCATAGAGTGGGGCAAAAAAGTATTTAGTCAGCCACCAATTGTGCAAGTTCTCAAAGAGCTGTTGAAGGACACCAGAAACAAAATTGTAGACCTGCACCAGGCTGGGAAGACTGACAAAGAGCTGTTGAAGGACACCAGAAACAAAATTGTAGACCTGCACCAGGCTGGGAAGACTGACAAAGAGCTGTTGAAGGACACCAGAAACAAAATTGTAGACCTGCACCAGGCTGGGAAGACTGACAAAGAGCTGTTGAAGGACACCAGAAACAAAATTGTAGACCTGCACCAGGCTGGGAAGACTGACAAAGAGCTGTTGAAGGACACCAGAAACAAAATTGTAGACCTGCACCAGGCTGGGAAGACTGACAAAGAGCTGTTGAAGGACACCAGAAACAAAATTGTAGACCTGCACCAGGCTGGGAAGACTGACAAAGAGCTGTTGAAGGACACCAGAAACAAAATTGTAGACCTGCACCAGGCTGGGAAGACTGACAAAGAGCTGTTGAAGGACACCAGAAACAAAATTGTAGACCTGCACCAGGCTGGGAAGACTGACAAAGAGCTGTTGAAGGACACCAGAAACAAAATTGTAGACCTGCACCAGGCTGGGAAGACTGAAAGAAAAACAGCCCCAAAGCATGATGTTTCCACCCCCATGCTTCACAGTAGGTATGGTGTTCTTTGGATGCAACTCAGCATTCTCTCTCCTCCAAACACGACGAGTTGAGTTTAGACCAAAACGTTCTACTTTGGTTTCATCTGGAGAACTTGCACAATTGGTGGCTGACTAAATACTTTTTTGCCCCACTGTATAAATAAATAAACCTGGATCTACAACAGTGAAATTGCTCAACACATGAAAATATACTCTCCACAAGTAATTTTCCACCACACATATATCTAAATTCTTCCAGGGATTTCATTAATGTATGTATTTGTGTAGATGGATGGGAAGATGGGTAATTAAGGCAAGATAATGCAATGATGCAAATGCAAGAAGAGTGGCAAGCAAAGGAGGGGAAATGATCCCCACAGTACTATTTAGATACAGCATTTTTCCTACTATACTGGAATCACCTTACCTTTATCGTTCACTAAACATAGTTCCTAATATTTTTATACACTGCAAATCATTGGTAAAGATAGACAACTGCCATTTAATAAAGAAGCCTTTAAAGAAAAACAATCCATCATTTTAGCCTTGAAATTACTGTACTAAACAGACTGCTGACATAAGAAAATAGATTCATTTACTTGATTGATCTAAGTTTACATGGTGTTTGGGTTCATCAGCTATTTTAATTGCCTGTGCCAGGCAATTTGTTTGGGAAAATTGCCCAAGGATACTATCTGCCAATGATTTTTATTTCAAAGGACTAACATTTAATTATTGACTGAATGTTAAGCTACAATTAAAAATATGTTCTCACTGTTATGTATTCCAAGTTTACATATGCTATTAACTGAAGAGGCAGTATATACCCTCAGTAAAAATACTCAATGTTAAAATGAAAAACACTGCCCCATATTAATTTTCTTTTCTATGTTAAACTAGGACTCATCAAAGCTCTTGAATTAGATGTTTATCTCAAAGCCTATCAAGGAAATTCATCAGATAAAAACTAAACATACTAGTTTACAAACTACTATTGTCCTACAATCTAATATTCTTTTTAAATTTGAATTCACGATTCAATAAACTGCATATGCAAAATCATTACTTTTTTGTATTATTTCAATGGAATCTAAATGCAATTAATTTATTCAAAATTCAGTGCAAAAATCTTTTCAAAAGATTTTTTAACAGCACTGACCATTAAGGTGCTATTTCAAAGAATCTTTAATAATGGGAAAAGATGAGGCAGGGGAAGATTTACTGTCAGCTCTCCATTTAAAAAGACTGAAAATTTCCACATGTAAAGCACTGGTAAATATTATGGGAGGCCTTGTTTAGTTCTTTCCCTTACACAGAGAAGGCTACAACACAACATGGTGACTTGTATTTATGAAAGATATGTAAGATCACATACCATATGAAATACATTTAGTTCTAAATATGAGTATGTAAAGTACCCATATTCGTCATTTTCAGAAACAAATCCATATTCAATTAACATTTTGAATATGGAAACAACGAACTGGAAAATTATTCAAAAAAAATCAGCTTATAATACAAAGTATGGTTTTGTTTATGATGCCAAATACAAGGAAGGAGAAAACTGACAGCTCACAGGAGTATGTGCAACCACTGTGATTTCCTTCTATAATATGTGGAGCACTTTCTCACTACAATGCCAAAAATTGGAAGGGTGATTTTAAGCATGTAACACCATTTTAAAAACTGTTAACACATTATTCTCACATTTATTCTTGAACGTGCTACTTTTTTCTTGGGGTCTGATGTCCAGGCCCAATTCACTTTTTGATCTTATCCACACCAACTTTTCTACCCCAGCCACAGTCGTTTGTGGAATGGTTGCTAGAACACCATGCTATTCAACAGCAACATAAAGCTTCAAAAAGGCTATTGTTAACTAGAAACATCATTAATTATTACCTTTTAAGTTGTCCAAAATAAACTACCAACTTATTTTATATATTATAAAAATATGTATGTGTTACATCAGTCTTAACTGTCTATGGAAGTAGATAGAAAGTCATACCTGCATGTTTTCTCTCAAATCTGTGGCATCTCGTATGGGCTGAAGAGCATTCTTGAATACTTCATCAATACTTTTAATCCACAAAGTCCTCATACAGGCATATTCTCTGGATTTCTTGCTTTTTCTGACAGAAAGACCCCGTTTATGAGGCTTCCCTCCACCTCTTCGATTAGTAATAGCAACATGGACAAACAAGAAAGCATGTGCTAGAGCTTCTCCTGTTAAAGACTGAAGTGGAACATGCCGATAACCTGGTTGTAAACATTCAAAGGGAATTGTGTACTGCCCAATAAATTCATCCCCAATGTAATCATCATCTAACACAACAAAGCGTACCATAGCAAGTTCAGGTAGGTTAATTTGAAATTCAAAACTCTCATCAAAAATAGGATTGTCTCCATTTTGGTGGATAGTTTTTGTCCTTTGTTCTGCACAGTCTGCTGGAATCCCATGGATTTCTACATAGACATAAGGATCTACTACATCACCTTTGGCACCTGAACCTTTTGGCTTTGGAAAATTCTGTCCACTAATAATCTTAACGTGAAGAAGCTGAGGTGAAACACCAGGCACTGTGTCCTTTGTATTTGCACTAAAGAAAGATACTTCCTCCCGCATGATAGCAGGCCGCAGCACATAGCCACAATTCCCATTTTGTCGAAACCAGCCAATATTGAGGTCCATCATTAACCCAGGTGTCTGAAAGTTCATTGCCACAATTTGACAGCCGCATTTCCAGAAATCCTGTGGGTTCATATTACTAGAATCAATCCTCATAGGGCTAGGAAAAACCCTTGCAAGAAAGCGTTTGTTATAATTCACAAAGTCTCCAGGATTTTCATTGGCATATTTAGTAGCAAGCACTTCATTAAAGGAGCAAACTTCCCAGTATTTCTGAAGCTGAAATGAAACCTGAAAATCTTTGAACTGAACCGATTTACATATGCTTACCAGTTCTGATAGTTCTTTACAAAGTTGAAACCGTTTCACTGGGACAACATTCTGTGGTTCTCCTCCCTCCTTTCCCATTCTCTGTGACATTTCTGCTCCTTCATCTTCATCTGTAACATCTCCTTCTAGCCCAGAGCAGTTAGAAGGTAACTTCTTGGCTTTAATTAATATTTTTCCTTTAAGATATTCAGGAGATGGCAGATAAGATTCCTCTATATTTGGAAGTTTCATATATAGTTTATCCCCAAGTATTTTCTTCATATGCTGGACCATCACATTCTGTTGCTTGAGAGAACAATGATTTTCCAAGCACAAAATAAGAGGATATTCCGAGGCAAAAAATGCATATTTATTAATTATGTCAATTACACTGCGGAAGACTATCTGTGAAGTCATTGTGTGCCCTGTATAAATTACAGGCTCATTGTCAGGACCATCCCATACATCCAACTCAACACTGCGGCATCCCATTTTTAAAGCACGAATGTAACCTGTGATATCAGATGGGCCTCGAAACTGGTCCTCTATCAAGTATGTGTTATGAGAAGAGTTTATGAAATAATGAGATAAAGGCTGGTTCATGTCCTGGCACACCTTTTTATGTTCTGGATCAAATATATGACATTCTGGGGAAGTAAGATAATTTGTAAAACCATCTATGGAAAGCCAGCCTCTTTCTTGTCCCTCTTTAGATGGTTCATATTTGTGAATAATACCAAGACTGATCTCTTCAGTGACATGAGCCATACCCTGTTCTGCTTCCAAAAACATCATAAGATCCTTGGTGTCAAGGAATTCTTTATTGCTAGAAAACTGAACTAGTAAGAAATAGATCTCAGGACGAGTACAAAGCTCATGGAAAACTTCAATAAATTCTTTCTTTGTGATTTCTGTATCAGGTCTGTCTTTTGATCGCTGCAGCTCTTTGAATTTTAATTCAATTTTATTTGTTTTTAAACCAGGATTTAAATTTTTTATAAACTGTACAGCTCTGCATAAGGATATTCGCCCCAAATGATCTATATCTGTTTCACTAAACATCTGGGAAACCCATGAGGTCCGCATTTTATCTTGTCTACTTTCTAGCATATCCAATGTATGTTTTCCATAAGATATCAAGTATCTTAGGCCAGTAACCCAAATATTTGCAACATCTGCAGAGTTTGCAACAAGATCTAAAGATTCATAATTGTCTCCATAAATAATCGAAAATGCAGAGTCTTCTGAAATTTGGTCAGAAATTCCATTGCTACGAAAAATGTCTGTATTTTTCCCTATTCTCACTTCTTTGACTGATTTGATGTCAATCTTTGCTTTTTCAGAATCTTTCTTTGAAGGTTCCCATCGTAGCGACTGCATATCTGCATCTAAAAGAAAATACCGTTGGTATATCCTAGAGTTGGATCGAACTTTTCTGAGTTCCGAGCCTTCAACCATAGCATTAATACAGTCACTTGCACTACTTATCTTTTTCTCAGTGGGCATGCTGCTAAACGAGACTGTCTTCTTCCGTTCCCTTTTTTGTTTTGTACCATCCTGGAAATAGAGAAGAGGGAAAATATTAAATTACATGGCCTATAAACATTTCTATATATCTAAAGATTATAGAAGAGTAACTAGTACATCTACTATTCTTCATTCATACACAAAAAGATATAAAAGGTTACAGATAAGCCTAATCTTATGTGAATTTACTTCGTAACTTTTCAAAGATCTGTAGGATTCATTTCCAAGACAATGAATATGAGATTAAGGCCTAAGGCATTTTCTGCCATATATGCAATAGTCCTGTGAAATATTATACAGTTTATACATACTGTATCTAAGGCATTTGTTTTGAATCTATGATTCCACAGATTACCATATTATATAACCTCAAAACTTATTTAATTAACACATTTTATAACTTTGCTTCTAATTGTTAATATATCTACAAAAGTACCCTTTATTTTCTCACCCCACAACTGGGAACTTATTGGCAAGAAAGCATAGTTTGGTTAGAAAGAGGAGAGAGGACTATCTTCACATTGTTACAGGTCCGTATGATGAGTGGATAGGGAGAAGGAAATGCCATATCAGACTAATGAACATACTGGAAACTGTGCCAAGTAAAGATAGGCAACCTTTCAGCAGCAAGACAGAAAAGTGTATTTTCAATTAGGCTACCACATCTGGACTGCAAAAATCCAAGGGTCACAACTGCCTGGGCAATTATATCACACAAAGATGCAAAGTCAATATTTTTTGTCAGATCTGGAGAAGTTCTGTTATGCCTATCTGATAGTTTATACGCAATACATCCTTTGTTTCTGTTGAAGGTAGATGGGAAATCATTGTTCTATTGCTTGGTATTTGCTTCTGAACTTTGGGCATACAGGCATATCAATCATGCTATTCAGAAAGCGAGTAAGAAATAAACCAATGAAATTAAATGCATAAAATAAAAAATAAGAATAGAGTTTAATCTAATTTATTCCAACATAATTCAGTATATCTCTCCATACAGTTCTCACCTTGGAAATCACCTTTCTTCCCCCATGTCTATACACTACTTTATATACTTTTTTGTTGTTGTTCTTTAAACTTTTCTCCTTCCTTCCTTCCTTCCTTCCTTCCTTCCTTCCTTCCTTCCCGGATTTATAAGGCTGCCCAACTCAGACTGTGTGCCTCTGGGCGGCATACATCATAAACACACATAAATCAAAAAGAAGAAAAAAACATAGAAAACTATCTAACAACAAACATACAATATATAAATACAAATTCTAAAACGTGAAATGTAAAATAGCAACCAAGCACACAACCAAACAACTTCGGGGGGACTCCCACTCAAATGACCCCTAATGCCTGGGGGAAGAGCCAGGTCTTAAGCACTTTCTTAAAGGCAAGGAGAGTTGGCGCATGTCATATATCGGGAGGAGAGATTGTTCCAGAGAGCAGGGGCAACCACAAAAAAGGCACCCTTCCTAAGTCCCATAAGGTGACAACACTTAAAAGAAAGAATCTGGAACATGCCTTCCCTGTGGGAGTGTGTGGGGTGTGCAGATGTTCTTGGGAGAAGGCAGTTCCTCAAGTAACCCAGTCCTATGCCATGTAGGGCTTTAAAAGTAATCACCAGCACCTTGAATTGCACCCAGAAGGCTATTGGGAGCCAGTGCAGCTTGCAGAGTAGGAGTGTCACGTGGGCATAATGAGATGCGCCCATAATTATCTGCACTGCTGCATTCTGGACCAATTGAAGCTTCCGGATGGTTTTCAAGGGCAGCCCCATGTAAAGCTTGTTGCAATAGTCCAATTGGGAAGTGGCCAAGGCATGGTCATCAGCAGGGCTTTCTTGTCTTTTCCTTTCTCTTAACCCATTTGCTTGTCCTTCCTATATCTGTTCAGTGATTTGCCTTTCATTCATACTTTCTAGATGACAAAACCACCTCAACGTACTTCTTTGGTACTAGTCGCTCACTTTTATATTCAATCAACATTCATTCAGCATCCATTTATTCCTGACACTCTTTAAGTATCCCATTCTTACTGCATTCAACTTATTTTATGTTTGTCCTGACATATTCAACTCTCACTGCCACATAAAAAGTAGGGATAAACATTCTTGTAAATGTGTTTGCTTTTTCAACAAACATTCATTATTCGCAACAGATCAGAGCAACTAGTTCTTACCTTTCTACCAGCATGTACTTCTTAAAATATCTTAAAATTAAACCCATCTTTAATAAGTATTCTACCAAGATACACACTTTTATCTACCTATTCTAGGTTTTTGCCACTTATGTATAACTTGCAGTCATTCACTCCATTTCCCTATCAAACATAATTCCTTTGGTCATTTAAATATTAATTTTAAGATGCATAGTCCTCTTTCCATCATACAATCTCATATCCATTGTAAACCAATCAGATTCTTAGCTGACAATATGGTATCTTCTGCATACAAAAGTATACATATCTTCACATCCCCAACCAAACATACAGTACCTTTACCATCATTGCAAGCATTCCTTACACATTTTTACATAAATGCATTAAAGAGGCAAGGGGACGTCACACAACTTTGCCTTATTCTCTCCCAATGCTGAATCATTTACTTGGAATTCCACTTTTCTCCATTTTCGTGACCTGCCCAGATCTTCAGACTCTGGCCAGCATATGACAGAGTTAAAATATAGAATAAAAACATAAAGACATACAGGTAATAGAAAAATCCCCAGACACCAAGCATAAATATTCAATCCTGGTTAAAAGACAATGGAATACTGTTATTTTAACAGATTTACAAAATGCCAGGATGGAAGGAGTTGCAACACAGAAGGCCTACGTCTTGATTCATGTATTCCTTTATCTCACATAGAATATGGACTCTAAACAGGTCTTCTCACAATGTTGTTACTCGATAGGCAAATTCAACCATGGCAAGGTGATGCCTGATGTAATTCAGCTCTATAAATATACATAGGTCATTATTAGCACACTGAAATAGGCCCCAAAGTCTTCAGGTAATCAGTACAGCAACTTCAGCAGTGCTCAGGAAAATGGGAATCTCAGAACATCTCACTGTCCTCCTGAGAAACTTATATACAGGTCAGGAAGCCACAGTACGGACAGAACCTGGCAAAACAGACTGGCTCCAGATTGGTAAAGGAGTGAGGCAAAGCTGTATACTCTCCCCTTATTTATTCAACCTATGCACTGAATATATATTAAGGAAAGCTGGACGGAAAGAAGATGCGCATGGTTTTAAAATGGGAGGAAGAAACATCAATAACCTGCACTATACTGATGACAGTACCCTGATAGCTGAAAATGCAAAGGATCTCCAAGCTTTAGTAATAAAAGTTAAGGAGCAAAGTGAAAAATGAGTCTAAACTTAAATATAAAGAAGAGTAAATTAATGACAACAGATAGTACCACAACCAGCCTTAGAATTGGCAATGAAGATACCAAAGTGGTGCATAGCTTCTGCCTTTCAGGATCAATCATCAACAGTAAAGGATCCAGCAGTCAAGAAATATGCCACAGACCAGCACTTGGTAAAGCAGCCATGAAGGCCTTGGAAAAGATACTCAAATGCCTGACCTACAAAGATCAGAACTGTGGAAGCCATGGTATTCCCTGCAACACTCTATGGAAGCGAAAGTTGGACTTTGAAAAAGCAGGATAGGAAGAGTATTGACGCCTTTGAACTTTGGTGTTAGAGAAGACTCCTGAGAATACCATGGACAGCCAAGAAAACAAACCAATGGATCACTGAACAAATCAATCCAGAGTTCTCGCTAAACATACAAATGACAAGACTCGAATTATCCTATTTCAGACACATTGTACAAAGACCTAATTCTCTGGAAAAGGCTCTAATGCTGGAAAATATGGAAGGAAAGAAAAGAAGAGGACGACCAGCAGCAAGGTGGATGGACTCAGTTACAGTGGCAATGAGTGCACCATTGGAAGACCTGAAAGACCAAGTTAGGGACAGATCATCATGGAGAAAATCTATCTATGTTGTCATTAGGAGTCAAAAATGACTTGATGGCACATAATCAATCAATCAATCAATCAAAAAACCAGTATTGTACATGGATAATCAAGCCAGCAATATCTCGCTGTAAGCTAAACTAGGTAAAATGCACCTAAAGCTACTGAAAGCTACTCTATTATCCTGAAATGATAATAGAGTGAAGAAGAAAAGAATAACTATCATCTTCTCAAGAGTAAAAAGGACTTCTAATAATGGAACTGGAAACAGGTATTCTTAGCAAGCTGCAAATAAGACAGAGAAGTAACAAGAGGTAAAAAAGGACCCATTTCCTGACTTTTCTCAACAGCAAATATGGAAACAAGATAGAGAAGCCATATGAGTCACTGTGAACTCCATTTCCTTTTTCCCAGGCCTTGAGTAACTTTGAGCTAGTCACTTTATACCAGCTCAGTGTATATCACAGTGTAATACTATGCACAGCAGCATAATAACTGAGAGCCAATTTGGTGTAGTGGTTAAGGTGTTAGCCTAGAAGCCAGGAGACTCTGAGTTCTAGGCCTACCTTAGGCATGAAAGCCAGCTGAGTGACTCTGGGCCAGTCCCTCTCTTTCAGCCCAACTCACCTCACAGGGTGGTTGTTGTGGGGAAAACAGGAGGTAGGAATATTTTGTATGTTCACCATCTTGGTTGATCGAAATACATTAAAAAGGCAGGATAACAATACCATCATCATCAGCCTTTGGAGAAATAGTGGCTATATATTAAAAATGCATTTATTAGATACAGCTATTTTGGCGCAGTGGTTAAGGTGTCAGATGAGTAACAGGGTTAGGAAACCACCTAGGTGACTTTGGGCCTGTTACTCACTCTCAGCCCAACCCACCTCACAGAGTTTTTGTGGTGGGGAAAGTAGGGCATCATGTACACCACCTTGAGTTGTAAAAGATAAAGACGGAACATAAATCATATAAATAAATAACATATGGTTGATTTTGCTTTATCACAGTGCCCAATTCACTCTCAGCCTCACACATAAAAAAACATTAATAAC